AGGGAGGGGGAGGGGAGGAGAGAGAGAGAGAGAGAGAGAGAGGGAAGGTAGGAGAGAGAAATTGGGTTGTCAAGAATGCAGAGATGGGTTAGAAAGAAAGTACAAAGAGCCATACGACTTGGAGGAAATAAAGGGCATTGAGAAGGAAAGACTCAAAGAGAAAACAAGAGAAAGGTGTGGGGGTTTGTATGGAAGAGGCTATTTGGGGGGTTTAAAGGGGAATAGGCTGCTTGAAATGAATTTAAGCCTTTCCAACCAACCTAGAATAGAAACTTAGAAAGAAATGATCAAATCCTCATCATAGCAGGCTCAACTTGATTATTTAAGAAATCAACCAAAAAATTTGATTTTGCTACCAAATACAAAACTCTATTTTCCAGAATTTTCTTCAAGTGTTTTTGATAAATGGCAAAAATATAATTAACCACAGAAAGCAAAAGAGACAACTCCAAATATGGGACATGGGGCAATCATATTGCACAAAAGATGGATGGGTGCCCTATCAAGGATCCGCCCCAGAGTTCCATCCCCACACACCCTACCCTTCCCAAACATCTTGTGCCTACCGAGAAGCTTTGATATTGCTTAGTTACCCCGCAACCCCTTCTTTAACTCTAACATGCTCAGACCATATAAAGCAGTCAACATGGGATCCCTCTTAAGATTCATTTCCACATATCCAGGGCAGCCAACCAGCCAGGGCCAGCCCACAGCACCACCAAACTACCCACTAACCTCGCTTCAGGCTGTATTCGGCCCCACGCTAATGCCCATGGAGCAGGACTGGGCCAGGCATACCATGCCCAATAAAATTTTTAGCCGAACCCAGGCCAAGGCAAGCCCAGCTCGGAGGCAGCTCTTTCAATACCCTATATACTGTAGTGCATATAAAATTATCAATTTATAGATAGTAATACAATAATTACTATAGTCCATACTTTCTCTCACAGATCTATATCTGCAGCTCTCGCATCTCTGCAATTCTCTCTCACTGATCTATATCTGCAGCTCTCGCATCTCTGCAATTCTCTCTCACTGATCTATATCTGCAGCATCAATTTTCACCAAGCAAGCTAAGTAAACCGTACAACCATACTTTTTTTTTTCCTATTAAAACATGATATATCTTCCCAATATATGGCACTCATTACTATTGTTTTAGGGTTCAAAAATGTATTTCCAAGATTGTATATTTGTTTATATACTTTGGGATTGTGAGTAAACGGATTACAGGAATATATGACAATTTAAATAAGGATAATAGTTGTTAGAGCTTTCAAATACATCTCTCGCTCCCTCCCTCTAGTTATTATTGAAGGAACGGGATTATACAATAGTATTCCACATATTGGTGTGTGCATCAGCGAGAATCGGAGAGAGACAGAGAGAGAGAGAGAGGTTTCCTTTTGATAAGTCCAATTTTGTGATGGTAGTATTTAAGTTTGCTGGACTATCCGTGCATTGGCGTGTTGCTCGGATCATATTTGAAAGTCAAGATTTCTTCCTCTTTTTTTTTTCTTTTTTTTTATATGTTAACAGTGGGAATGGAGAGTGGGAAGTTATTTTGAGACATCCACCTCCCTAAGAACTCCATCAGGAATTGGTAAGTTACTTATAGTCGTTTCCTAGAATTTAGAGAGAGAGAGAGAGAGAGAGAGAGAGATCTATATACACTTTGTCTATAAAAAAAAAAATTACAAGAGTATGTATACAAGCTGTTTATACACACTATGTACACATACGAAGTGTACATATAAATGCTTTATAAAGGCATCGCCCAATCACACCTGATTCATATCTGGGAAGGGCTGGGCCTCAATATATAGTTTGGGCCAGGCCCATGTACAACACCCATATCCTAATACGGTAAACGCCACCAGGGTCCTATAACTTGATGAATTTCACGACTCTTTAAAAAGCTTCATGATGTATTTAATCTAGTTCTCAGTATCTGGTTCCTACTCCAATGCCCTTATGATCTCTCCAAAACCACAGATGACCATTAACTCTCGTTTCATTAGTATCCACAGTATACGTATTAGTTTCTGCACTTTACTCTCAAAATATTGAACATGAGTACTTAACTTAAAGTAACAAAGGCCCACCACTCATCGTCTTATATAGTTCCAAAATCCCTAGATCAATGCATTCTGTTTACTTGGGTTACCACTAACAGGATATATGTAACAGAGTGTGAAACAACAAGTTTGGCCAGTCAATCTAGTTTGTAGTTTCCTTCTTTTTTTTCTCCTTGTAAGTTGGTAACTTTAATTTTCAGCATGGAAAATATTCACAATGTAATTCCCAAAAACATTTTCTTGATACCAAAATCCATTGATAAAACAACAATTCCATTTAACCCAGTTTAAAGAAATTAGGGGCAAGCTAACATTGCCACAAGTTTCAAGGTTCTGATTTTTTAAAAACCAATCCAAATTTGTAAAAGTGGTTTAGATTTTTTTTATAATGTCTTTCAAACCCAATTTTAATAAGTCTTGACAAGTTCCCTCACTGAAGTTAAATTAAAAACTTTTTTAACCACACTGAAAACACAGCACTTCTAATGGTTGGCAATAGAAGTAGTATTCATTGTATTACTTCATCAATAGTAATGAATCCAATACAGTATTTACTGTATCAAATAGTTTTTCCTTTTAAAAGATAACAATGAATAGAACGGAAACCGGTTACACCTAGTCGTTCCATTAGGAACAATTAAACATAATAGACATGTTCAGAAGGGGGAGAAGAGAAAAGGAATTGAAAATAAAACTGCGATGTGTTATGTCCAGCTAACACAATGATAATTGAGGAAAAAATCGTGCTATATAATCACCAAAAGCAATTAAATTTTAGGAATTTTAATAATTTATCCACAGATCAAAATCCCAAAATCATTCTTTCACTTAAACTACCAGACTACCATATGTTTCTTTATAAAAAGAGCTATCCCTGCACAATAAAAATAAAAACACCTTCTCCTCAAAAAATCATGAGTCCATTGTTATGCAGTTAAAAATCTGTAAACATCACACATTCACAAGCTGAAGTTTTTAGACTACAAAAAAAGATACCTGACTATCTAATCAGCAATTCACCTGCCCTAAGTTTATATGAATATGTTGGTCTTCAATAAATATACACACATCTACAATGAAAACTATACTAAATGCCTAGAACTACAGAATTTACACAGAGAATGAGAGTGAAGATCTATGCAGAGAATGAGAGTAAAGATAGCATCACAGTGAAAAATCAGCCAAACAACACAGTAAACCATAAAAAAAACAAAAAAAAAGGAACTTAATACGCTCAAAATAAGCCCATAGACCATACAATCAACATTCAGATCACCCCAAAACAGTACATATACAATGAAACCAAACATTATGAAAAAGTAAAAAAAAGAAAGAGGTAAAACCATGATTCGATCATAGATAAAATAAATAAATAAAAGTAAAAATAAATGAATAAGTACCTGACTCCAGCATCACCAACTACACCAATGGCCATACCAGCCGAAAGGCCAGCAAGACCACAGGCCAAACCAGAAGATAGATGAGCATAACCATCAAACAGATAGTAAGGTTTAGCCTTGGGATTGATCCCTGTACTGATAATCACTGCGATGATCAAGCCATAGATACCAAGAACACCAGCCATGACCACTGGTACAATGGATTTCATCACAAGCTCAGGCCTCATCACACCCATGGATGCCACTCCTACGCCACTCTTAGCAGTACCATAAGCGGCCCCCATGCCTGAAACCAGTGCCCTAGACTCCATTTAAACCAAGGAATTTTGCAAAGATAATGGAGACAACAGAGAAAGGAACTTACAAGAGAAAATTAAACTTGAACCACAGCCCTAAATCTACAACACCATGGATTTTTCGAGAGAGAAACAAACACTTACAGGAGAAAACTAGGGCAGCCGCCGCTCCAAGGAAGCCAAAGAAGGGGGCAGTCTCATCGCCACTGAATGAAACCATTTTTAGGGCTTGCAGGTTGAGATCTAGTGGGAGAAAGTGAGATCTGGTGACACCAGCTGCAATGGCGAAGGGTCTCTTTCTCTCTCTAGAAAGCGCACACACGCTCTCTCTGTGCCTTCGCTTCTTCGTCCCAGGGAAAAGGCCGCACAGCAAGTCGCGGCTGCGTGTTGTTATATGTGCCCCCACAAAATTCTTCAATTGTGGTGCGGAGCTACAAGGAGGAAATATCCAAAATGACCCTAAATTTTTAATATACAAAATGATCCTTGCCAAAATTCTTCAATTGTGTGCGTTGGGAGGTATAAGCAAAGGAAATATCCAATATGACCTAAATTTAAATATGCAAAATTACCCTAAATTTATTGTAAATGCCATTGAAGCTCTCCCACTTTTTTTCTTTTTCTTTTTTTTGTAAAGAGAGAAACTATTATTTAGTATGAAAATTGAAAGATTAAATATCTATAAGGGCTAGGCTTTAAATGAAAATAAAAAAATTAGGGACATGAAGAGATAAATTAAGAAGGCCTAGTTCAATGAGTGATTTGTTTTGAGAAATTCCATCTTTTTAGTTTAGGGAATAAAATAGATAAGGTAAAGATCTTTTGGTTTAAGAAATAATAAGTGGTAGTCATCTTTTACTCTAATATGAGAGAGAAAATAGGGAAAAAAAGATTGAGAGAAAGATAGGGAGAGTATAGACCTTTTAGAGATAGATTTTATTTTATTTGGGATTTTTTTTGTAGTTATTTATTTATTTTATTTGAATTACATTTAACAGGAAGATGTCCCTCATTGTAAACCGATGAGAGAATAATCAGAGAATAAGTTGAATAAAGTTGATATTGTGATAATATATTTTTGAGTGGATTCCCTTGCCGACTTTGTTTTTAGGGTGATTCACTTGTAGACCTAGAGAAATGATTTATTTTATTTATTTTTATTGTTACAATTTTTTTTTCTTCGTGCATCACCTTGGCTTTATGAAAATAAAGCAAAGCCTCACCTCAAATACTAGTCTTGAAAGCACTTTGAGCATCGAAATCTTCAGTATCGAAAATCTTCATAATGGCTTTAAAAATGATTTCTAATACTGACTATGAAATTTGAAGCTCATAAGCTACTGCAAATCTTGTACATCCGTGAACATTTATTTCTGAGGCAAAATATATGGTCTAAACAATGTGCTATAATATACATTTTTTCAGTGCTTGAAATGGTTTTTTTTTTTTTTACAACAATAATGATCAAGATGGAGATGATCAATATTTGAAAATTTTTCGATGCTAGAATTGCAAGAATTTTGAGGTGAGATTTTATTTATTTTTAAAGGGCTGCCTTATGAAATCATATTCCAAATTTGAAAGGGACGTGGACACCACAAAAGCCCAAGTTTTACAATAAAAAGTAAAGCCGGGTCCCATAAACCCCATAAGAGACATCTTGAATATGTGCATTTTGATAGATTTATGAAATCTTAAAAAAAAAAAAATTTAAATAATATATTACAGGATGCACTGTAGCTGTATCCCCAAGTTTTTGCCACTGCCCTAAATTAACCTTTTATTTTTTAATTTTGAGAAATATGGGAATGGAGCCATAATTTTAAAGAAAATTAAATGATTGAAATAATGGGATGGAACTAATGACAAGGTAGGGACTTATTTTTTAAAAAAATTTGACAAATATGGGAATGGAGCCATAATTTTTAAAGAAAATTAAATTATTGAAATAATGGGATGGAACTAATGCCAAGGTAGGGACTTATTTTTTAAAAAAATTGACAAATATGGGAATGGAGCCATAATTTTTAAAGAAAATTAAATTATTGAAATAATGGGATGGAACTAATGCCAAGGTAGGGACTTATTTTTTAAAAAAATTTGACAAATATGGGAATGGAGCCATAATTTTTAAAGAAAATTAAATTATTGAAATAATGGGATGGCACTAATGCCAAGGTAGGGACTTCTTTTTTAAAAAAATTTGACAAATATGGGAATGGAGCCATAATTTTAAAAGAAAATTAAATTATTGAAATAATGGGATGGAACTAATGCGAAGGTAGGGCATATGGAGGAAGAGGAATTAAAAAAAATACCGAAGGAGAGCTGAGGTTTGGCGATAACGGGGTGATGCGGGGGAGTATTTGGGATTAAAGAAAAAAGGAATAGGCGGAATATGGAATTAATGATAAAAAGGAAAGATATTAATGATAAGGGGTGATGCGGGATTAAAGAAAAAAGGTAGAGGCGGAATATGGAATTGAAATTATTGCTAAAAAATTGGAATTAATGATAAAAAATTAAATATCAAAACAAAGTTTCAATATTCATATTAAGACACGTAGGTTATGGGCCCACCACGGTTCCGCTGCGCTATTTTGATTTAATTATCAATATAACCACCCAAATATATATATATATATAATAAAAAATTATGTAAGGCCCGTTTAGATGAGAGAAAATTAGAAATATTAGATATTTTGTCACGGAATCCCCAAATCTTTTATTTAAAAAAAATACATTAAATTCATGGATTCCTTACAATCACTTGTTTGGTAACAAAACTTGATACAATTTTTCTCTCTAAAATTTTTTTATGTTTTGTCTCTTTAAAACTCAAAATTTAAGATACTATACCTATAAAAATTTTGAGATAGTTTCTTTTTCTAAAATTTGATATAGTTTATCTCTCTAAAATTTAACATACTTTCTATCTAAAATTTAAAATTTGAAATTGTCTATCTAAAAATTTTGAGATAATTTTTCTCTCTAAAATTTTTACTTGCTTTACTCTCTCTAAATTCAATATAGTTTTTCTTTCTAAAAATTTAAGATTATTTTTCTTAAACTTAAAACTTGATATTGTTCTCCTTTAAAATAATTTTGAGATAGTTTCCCTCTCTAAATATTTTTAAGTAGTTTCACTCTCTAAAATATGATATATTGTTCTCTCAATTTTTAAGATATTTTTTCTTTTTAAACGCTAAAATTTGAGATAATTTATCTTTAAGAATTTGACGATAGTTTCTTTTTCTAAAAATTTTTATGTACTTTCTCTCTCTAAAATTGATATAGTTACTCTCTTAAATTTTAAGATGCATTCTCTCTCTAAAACTTTAAGTTTGAGATTGTTTCTCTCTATAAAATTTTGAAATAGTTTCTCTCTTTAAAATTTGATATAGTGTCTCTCTAAAATTTGATATACTTTCTTTTTTTAAAGTTTAAAATTTAAGATACTCTCTCTTTAAAATTTTAATTTTGAGATACTTGCTCTCTCTAAAACTTAAATTTTCAGAAGTTTCTCTTTAAATTTTTTTGAGATAGTTTCTCTCTCTAAAAATTTCATGTACTTTCTCTATCTAAAATTTGATATAGTTTATCTTTTCAAAATTTTAAAATACTTTCTCTCTCTAAAACATTAAATTTTGTGATAGTTTCTCTCTCCAAAAAAATTATATAGTTTCTATCTCTAAAATATTTTAGGTAGTTTCTCTCTCTAAAATTTGATATAATTTTTATATTTAAAATTTAAATATATTTTCTCTCTCTAAAATTCCAAATTCGAGATAAATTCTCTTTAAAACTCAAAATTCAAGATAGTTTCTCTATCTAAAAAAACGAGATATTGATCTCTCTAAAATTTCTTTTTGGCCGTATCCCTTTCTAGAATTTATAATAATTTATCTCTAAAAATTTAAAAATACTTTCTCTTTTTACAATTTTAAGAATACTTTCTCTCTCTAAAACTTAAGATTTGATATAGTTTCTCTCTCTAAAAATTAAGATGTGAGATTGTTTCTCTATCTAAAAGTTTTGAAATAATTTCTCTCTCTAAAAAATTGAGATAGTTTCTCTTTCTAAAAATTTGCACATACTTTTTCTCTCTAAAATATGATAATTTCTCTCTAAAACTTAAAATTTGAGATAATTTCTCTCTCTAAAATTTTGAGATAGTTTATCTCTCTAAAAAAAATTGGCACTTTCTCTCTTTAAAATTTTAACATACTTTCTCTCTTTAAAAGTTAAAATTTGATATAGTTTCTCTCTCTAAAATTTTGAGATAGTTCATCACTATAAAAAATTTGGTACTTTTTCTCTCTAAAATTTTAATATACTTTTTCTCTAAAAGTTAAAATTTAAGATAGTTTCTCTCTCTAAAATTTCTGAGATGATTTCTCTATAAAAAAATTAGGTACTTTCTCTATCTAAAATTTTCATACCTACCAAATGCTCCCTATGTTTCCGGTCGAATGAGCCAATGAGTGAAATCGATGAGCCTTGGAAATGTAAAAAAACAGATTTTGGTGTGGAAATAAAATCATGGAAAGGTAGGAATTATGTGCATGCTTTTGATTTTCCTGATTTTAAGTATCTTAGTCCTTAAGCGATCCAAATGGTAGATTTGACAAAATCCAAGATATTAGAAATCCATGCTTTAAAATCCATATACCCAAACAGGCCCAAGTTCTCTACCTGCTGTACCTTTGATGATCTTTTCTTTTTCTTTTTTATTTGAACTTTAATGAAAATTCGTTAACTGTATTGTTGTGTATAATGAGATAATATACAAATTTCTGTGAAAAAGTTAATAAAAAATACGAGACAAGCAAGCCATAAAAGAGCCCAGATCATCATTGTTCCACCATATGAATGGTGATGAGCACAGCTGAAAACAATTCAAGCTCTCTTGTTTTCTCTATAAATTCAATAAAAATTCCTTTTCTTTCCCCCTGTTTTCTCTGTAAATTCAATACCTGCTTGGCTAACTTGTCAAAGTATAAAAATTCCTTTTCTTTCCCCCTGTTTTCTCTTGTAAATTTGATACCTGCTTGGCTAACTTGTCAATCTTACTGTGTTTCTCCTGGTTAGCATGCTGAAAAATGACTTGTTTAGCCACTGAAACATGCTTGTTGCATCCATCAATGGCTTCCAATACCATGCTGTGGGTCTATACCATTTAATATGGATCTTTTACCTGCCTGCTCTACCTCTTTTACTTATAATACGAGTTTGCTTTTGAGTTATTTTAGATGGCACTCAAATTAATAGTTGAAAAAAGACTATGATGATGATAATCAGATGAACATTCACACTAATGTAAATGAGAAAGTGAAAGAGACTTACGCTGAGTTAAAGTATAGAACTAGACTCGTCCTTTCTCCACTTTCAAGCACAAGAAGTAGAGCAGCCATCCAAACTGGCCCTTATTTTTTTGGTAGGTGGTTGAGAATTGAGCATGCTTTAATGACATTGATTTTTCTAATTCTCTAGGATTGT